CATGCTAAGTATGTGAAGGCTCAAGTGCAAATAGTATGTAGGCCATGCCCCAGATCTATATTCCAGTAACACCCAACAGTATCAATACCATCTCCCAGATACCAAGGGGATCAATACCAGGATGAAGAAAAGTTGGTTGAAATCGACCCCAAAGATGAAAGTTATGCTGATAAGCAGAGGAAAGCACAAAGGACTTTTGAAGTCAGTATCAAGTAAGATTGGTCCTTTATGGCTTTCTCCCTGGATAGTTAAAAATGTTTCCTAAAATCCCTTCTTCTATCTCCAGGTTGCCCAGATTCTCTGCAACACAAACCACAAAAAGCACATTTTCCTGGTGCTCTAGCAGCACCTTGTCCCCCCTTTACTAATTGATACATATTTGTTGTCTTGATCTGGTCTTTGTGAATCATTTAGTCATTTTCTGGTGTTCTTATTTCCATAATTTTTCCACTAATTATTCTGTCACACATGCCTCTGGATATCAGAACATGCAACAGTGTCCTCCAAATATGTAGAAGGCAGAATGTTGTCCTCTGATATTGTCCTGTCCCAACAGCACTGTTTCTTCTCTCATAGTAACCTCTTGCCTCCCATCTCTTGCTCCCCTGTCTTTGAGTGCCCTTACTGGCTTGTGCCTAGTTACTGCCTGATTTTCACCATTTTCTGCTTCCTCTGGTTCTGCACAGTTTTTTTTTTTTCCACATCATTCAGAGCACGTTGATGCACATTATTGGTTCCAAAAGATGGATGCATTTGTCTTTGCTTTTGTGATGGATTAAAGTAGTGTTGACTGCCATAGGAGTCCTTACATGTTTTATAAACTCTGCAGGCCATGTAAAGCCTTGTTTGCAGTCAATCTGGCAGGAGAGTGTTTATAAACAGACTCCATGCAGAGTTTATAATCTCTATGTGACTGCTGATGAAGAGTAGAAGGTCTTCTGGAACCCATATAGGACTTACAAACCCTTCAGGAATCCAGCTGTAACTTCTCCTGCCTGCAGCATTACCTGTGCTTTTTATAAATTCTGTAGGAATCCCTGAATAATTTCTTCCTCAATGCTCAGCCAGAGTGAGGTGCCCCTCAGTTATGCTATTGTCTCCCTTAGAGCCCTTCCAAGACTGCAGCTTGAGGTCTATGTGGGTAAATGGGCTACTTTCAAAAATTACACATGGCATCCCCAAGCTTTTTGTTAAGATTAAGCTTTTCAGTAAGGATGACCCTGGTGCCTGCTGAGTCAGTTCTGCAATCTCCAGATGTATTTGAGGGCCATGCGGTTGTTTGATCATTTGTTTTTAGAAGTTGCTTGAAATGTTCTATTAAATAATAATTGTGGGCATTGCCCATCAGCTCAGAGCTTGCCTCCACCAATCAGAGGAGGCTTTTTCCACCAGCAGAAAGATCCTAATGTGAGAGAAGTTATAGCATTCCCTCCAGCAGGCCCAACAGTGTCAGGAGGAGACTTAGTTATCAGTAGTAGTCACCTCTGCAACCCTGGTATCACAGGGAAAATCCTATTTCTGACCGTCACCAGGGGAAGCCACTGTCCTCACTTCAACAGCCCCAAGAGTGTCACATGGTTGCTTCTGATGTAGCTGCAAGGAACAACAGCAGTGTCCACCTGGGAGACTGTAGGAACAACAGTAGCACCCTACTGGAGAGATAGGTGTATCCACTTTATCATTAACTTAACGACTCAGAGCAGAAGGCTCTATGATAAAATTCAGACAGTTATTTCTGGCTTCTTACACTAGACACCAATCTGATTTGTCTCCAGTGACTGTGCCCTCACTTGCTTTTGGCATACTTCCAGCCATCTAAAGAACTTTCTCTCCTGATTTACAGTTTTCAGCCCTACAGCATCTCCCAGTCCTCCTGCCACCATCACTTGTCCTGCTGCAGATTCCTGCTCATCCAGGAACACTTATAAATCCAGCTATGTCACAGGGATCTTCCATCCTTGGGGCAAATGCAGAAGCAGAAGCAGGGATTCTCTCATTCCACCTTGTCACTGCAGCTAATTCCACATCCCTTTTCCAGCGAGAGTCAATAGCCATTTGCTGGCTTTCCAATTCACCCCTTGACAAGGACAGTGGAATTGATGTTCCTGTCAGCAGCCTGGGAACATAGCAACAGGATGATATAATTAGGACTGTTAAATCTACAAGCATGGTTCCCATGGGACCTGATCCTGTGAGCAAGCATGGCAACCCAGCAAGCTGGGGGACCATTGTCAGCACCAGGGACAGCGCTCCAGGAAGCCACTTCTGTGAGCTGGTTCCTCCCCCTCTTAGTCACTGTGGCCTCCTGTGAAGCCTGCAGAGGATCAGCCCTGACCATCACCAGAGAAAGCATCACAAGGGAGTCTCTCAGGGCATCTTTATTACATGTGCCCTAGGGTGGGGGGGGGGGGGGGGGGGAGGGGAGAGGGAGGAGGCCCACTTTAATTAGAGTGGTTCTTGGGAGTCCCTCTAATTAAAGTGCCTGCAGCATCTCACGTATTCAGCATTTTGCCCTTCAAAATGGCAGCAGGGGCACTTTAATTAAAGCTTGTTCAATGAACTTTAGTTTAAGCACCCCACCACCATTTTGAAGTGCGGGGTTGCTGAAGACAGGAGACCTTGAGTCTGCTGGAGCATGCTAATTAGTTCATTAATAGAGTCTGCTCTGGCATGTGCTAATTAGCATGCATCAATGCAGGCATTGGGCACGTGTGTAGGTGCCCTCAGGGCACAGACAGAAGTGAGAATTTTTGCCTGATCTGGGCCCAGAAAGCAGTCTACAGCCATGACCAAACAGAAGTACACAGCTGCAGACCAATTTAAAAGGGTCTGATCCTGCAGAAATCTGAACCCTTATTGCTCCAAGAAATGAAGTGTGTTCTGTAACTTGTGTCTGCAGAGCTCCCAGCCTGTCACTGTTTTCAGAATGGGAGAGGGGAAAGGGAGTAGCGGGAGTTTGGTTTGGGTTTTTTTCAGCCAGTGCTGGTGGGTGGGGTGAGTGGATTGGAGCCCCACCACCTCCAAAGTGGAGGGGCTCCAAGCTACCCACTCCACCCGCCAGTGCTGGCTGGGGAACCCCAAGAATGAGCTCCCTCTGCTCCCTTTCCTCTCTCCCATTCTGAAAAAGGCATCTGAGCTGGGAGTGGGAGTGGCACTGCTATAGAGACTGGGCTGCAGGCTTAAAGGAAACAGGTGCAATCCCCAACTCCTGGACCCAACAGCAAACTTCTATTGGGCCCAGGGGATCATTGCAACTGACAGCACTTCCTGAAAAGTGCTATGAGTTGCAGCGGGGAGCTGCTCTTGTGTCTGCACCCTTAGTGGATAGCTCCTCTCTGGCAGTACTGCATAGGACACCTTCCCTGCCTCACTTCCTACCTTCCTTAGCCTAAGGAAACTTTTATTCCCCTATCAAGAATGAATCATTCAGTTATGTGAAGGCAAAAACCTTCTTGGCCCCTGACCTATTTCTTTCTGTGCATTTTTCAAATGATAGGAATCCCCTAGGAAATGCACAATGTGGCAAAAAAGTAATTACAGTGCAGAATGAAAGAATTAATTGTGTGTGTGTGTGAGCGAGTGCGCCGGTGAAGGTATATGTGCGTGAGAGTTAAAATAAGCTCTGAACGGAAGAGATTGCCAAAAGCAATTTTCTAATCAAAGGGGAATAAAAAGATTGTATCTCTCATTCATTTCAAACCAGAAAACATGTCTGCACATTAAAGTTTGCTTAAAAGCGCTCTTGTGCTAAATAGTAAAAAGAATTGGTGTATCAATCCCACCAATGCTATGGTGGGTGAAAAGGGGGGGGGGGGCAGGGAATGGGACCCTTTTTCTCATCTAGACAAAGAGCTCCAGGACAAGCTCAAGAGATCATTTGTATGTTCTAAAGCAATAGTAATTTATAGGGTGTAGTGATAGGGGGGGGTGAAGAATTTAATACTGAAATCTTGGGTTTTTGTCCCTGAAATAATATGAGTTTTCAGATAAATCTTTCCCTGTTCTCCTTAAAATTTTGGGTGTTCCCATCAAAATCTTAACAGAAGTTGTGAATTTGCATTCTGCCTATGAATGAGGGATGCTGGGGTGGAGAAGCCCTGTTTCCTTTCCCTCCTGAGACATTTCTAGATTCATGCTGCCTGTCCTCAGTACATTCAGCCATTAGGGTAGGCAGGGCCTATTACGGTTTCTCACGGTAGTAAATAGCTCTATCCCAGAATGAGTGTGGGGGCAGTCATTGGCCTCTATGCTGTTTCATCCTTCTCCAGATGGACTGAGACTTTGTGTCTAGCAACATATCCTGCACTCATTCTTCTGTAGAAGTCCTGTTAACTTCACTAACAGTTCTACACAGGTAAGAAATGCAGAACTTGCCCTGTAAACTTTTATTTATGGGCACCTTTAATGAAATCCACTTTTAGTGTGCTCAGTAGTACTGAGCTTGACCCTGTCACCATTCAAGTCAACGTGAAAACACTCATGAGCTTTAACAGTGCAGGATCAAGACCTTAACACAATAGCTATTCACCTCTGGAAGCCTAAGTTCGAAGCTAGTATGTCCCAAGTGCTGTCAGTTTGATGTGCTCAGTCTGGTTGGACAGTAGAGAAGTCCAGGAGTGGCTTGATAGAGAGTTCTGCAGATCAAGGGCAATGAGCACTGGGAGATCTGGAGAAAGAACTAGATTAGGTAGCAGGGTTGTCTGTAAAGACTGAGATGCACTACCATTAAAGGGGAATCTTCCCCAGTACTTGCCTGCACTATGTCTAGCCCAAATTCATGGAGCCAGTTACTCACTGAGGTAATATGTTTGCTACTAATATGCTAATACATTTTCACTCCCCGACCATCCCATCTCTGCTTTCATAAGACTCCATATGAACTTTCCAAAATGTGAGATGAGTGTATAAGTGTGTCACCATATCTACCCAGTGCCCCCCCACCGGGTGCTGAGAGTCTAAAAGCTACTGTCTACAGTTTAGGATTAATGTTATTTTCTCAGAAGTGGCAGACAGGAAGCTGACAGTTGAAGAGGAAGAAGCCAAGCGGATCGCAGAGATGGGCAAGCCAGTGTTGGGCGAGCACCCCAAACTAGAAGTCATCATTGAGGAGTCCTATGAATTCAAGGTCAGTGCTGATGTACCAGGAGGAGATTCCCCAAGCCACTGAGAATGTCGTCACATGAGAGAAGGGGTATAGGAGCAGCTTGAACAGAGAAAGCAGGCAGAAGACAGAATGAGGATAGCCTCAGTGAGTGGGGAAAGTGGGAGACAGAAGCCTGCAAAAAAAGAAAGAGGAAAGCAGCTGGTAGAGCAGACTGCTTGAGAGAAGGATGAAAGGAGAAACCAGAGGTGAGATGCCGAGATGGTAAATGAGGACCATATAGAGAGGGCAGTGAGTTGCTCCTTTAGAGAGAGGAGGAAGAGCAAAGATTCTCACGTGACTAGGGATAAAGCAGGGTGAAGCGGAAATGAAAGGGCCTGGCTTAAAGGTAGAGGATCACAGAAAAAAAGCACTGATAAGGACCTTGAGAGACCATCTAACACCACCCTCTGCTCAAGGCAGGATCACCTCTGTCTAAATTGCCCAGGGAGCAGACAGCAGCTGAGGGAGAGCGGCTTGAGGACATGCTAAGCTGCATAGGAGTAGGAGAGGAGCACAAACCTAGCCACGAGCCTGTGTCTATGAGCTTTGTATGTGAGGTGGAGTGCTGCCTCCACTGCCTCCCTCCCCCTCTGCTCAGCTTCTTGAGTGTTTTCTAAGCTGCTTAATTGTCCTGTTTTTTATGCTATTGACAGAGTACTGTGGACAAGCTGATTAAGAAGACAAACCTGGCTTTGGTTGTAGGGACACATTCCTGGAGGGACCAGTTCATGGAAGCCATAACTGTCAGTGCAGGTGTGTGTGTGTGAGGGGAGGGATGGAAAAGGGAGGTGTCTCCTGGTGCCTGGGTAAAACAAAAAATTGTGAACCTCCAGCAAACATGCTGGCTAGTTTTGCATCTTCACTGACCCCCATAAGCCAGCCTGACACTGTCTCTGCCTATGTTCTCAGTGGTGTGCAGCTGTCACAGGCCCACATGCTGCAGACAAATACGAATCATGGTCCTCAGCAAAAGCACTCATAGGAGAGAATCCAGGATCTTGGGCCCAGAGGGGAGGCTATCACACAGTGATTTCAAGATGCTGTGTCAATTGCTAAAAGTGCCACTAGAGGGCAGTAGTGCATGAGTGAGCATACACACACTGGCAGGATGGGGAAGAGGAGATGGAGCTCGTTCAAGCTCAGATTCTGAGCCCCAGGGCGCCCGTACACTTGAGGGGGGTTTAGTCCTTAGGCTTCCATTCTGTGCCCCCTAAACAGTTGTTTTTAATTGAAACCCACCATTTCAACCGAGAGGTTTCCATTGCTGTTATGCAAGGGGCCCGATCCTTTTTTTTTCTGGCAGAGCCTGTCTGCAGCCAGGGGGTGAGCAACCAGTGGGCTGAGCAGTCCCTGAGCTGCGCAGGGCCCCGGTCCTTCCCTCTGCAGTGGTGGCACCCCTTGGGGCTGCCTGGGTGGGCTGCTAGTGGGCCAGGTAGTTTAGTTTGCAAACTATCAGGATGTGGTTTAGTTTGCAATGATGCAAACTCATTTAAAACCCCCAAAACTCCTGCACATGTACAGCGTGACATCATTAAGCCACACAAAGTGACATTTTTGTCACGTGTACATGGTAATGACATCAAGTGTACAAGCACCATGGGTGCTTAAATTGACTCATGTTTAAATTGGACATAAATATATGCTGTCCATCTCCTATTGTATGTGGCTTGGATGCCTCTATCAGAGATAGCAAAACAGAACCCCACTTCTGAGCTCTCTCTAATAAATTAGTAGGGGAGGTTCTAACCAGCTTTATTTTCCCTATTGTGTTGTCTCCCATTACATTTCCCACAGGCTCCTCATGCTTTTCCCCATGTTTGATTTCCTTATGATTTTTCATGGATTTTCCCCCTGCTTTGGGGAAAAAAGGAGCCCATGAGAGTTCTCTCAAAAAGGCAGCTAGATAGATAGATAGATAGATAGATGCAATTGTCTATACATACACTATATATATGTATAGACATATATACACATATATATACACATATATATAGTGTATGTATAGACAATTGCATCTATTATATATATATAATGCATGTATGTGTGTATATACACACAAGCATATCTACATATATATGCATGTATCTATATATGTGTGTGTATAAATAAAAATAAGTGTACATTGCTCAGAGATTATAAACTATCCCTGAGCAATATTCAGGTATCTCTGATATGCCTATTTCATTACTCCTGATGCATTTCTGTGTGTCTCTGTTCAAGTGCAGTTTCAAATGCTTCGCAAATGTTCAGTGTAGCTGTAACCTTGAAGATGTGTGTGTCAGATATTTCCCACATACTGTTAACTTTCAGAAACAATTGCTACAGGCACAGACTGCTCTGAGAAGAAGCTTGTATTGGAAACCCAAGGACACATGTACTATCTTAGCTATAATGGTTGCCTTACAAATCTAATCACAAAGAATCATGTCTAGACAGGGAAAAAAAACAGACTTCCATAGGTAGCTATGCAAAACTTCTCTTTAGAGAAAAAATAGACTGTTGCCCATTTTGGTTGTCAGAAAGCACACTGTGAAACTTTTAAGTGCACCATAAACTGCAGGAGCACTTAACTCAGGGCTGACTGCAAGGGGGCCAGTCAGACTGCAGAAAGCATAGAGCTCGTGAAGCTCGCAGCATGACATGTCCAGCTACATGTAGTGTGAATAAGCCCAGAGTGCCTTATTTGTACCAGAGCTTGACATCCTGAACATCACAAGCCATTGAATTTCACCCAGTTACCCCTGGCACGGGGCTCAATAACGTGTGTTGAACTAAAGCCTATTTTCCAGAATGGCATCCAGCCTTGATTCACCACTAAAAAATTGTGCCTGATTTCTAATTTGAATGTGGCAGTTTTTTGTTAGTTTGTCACCAGTACACTGAGCAGCCCTTTCACAAGGAGAATATACCTGGAGTTTTCTCCTTGTGAAAGTAACTACTTCAATGCTGTAACCAAGCCATCTTGCAGTGTTCCTTTAGCTAAACCAAACAAATCAAGTGTCTCACATTTCGTATTTTAAGGTGTTTTTTCCAGCCCTTGAATATTTTTATGGCTTTTTTCTGCACCCCTTCCAATTTTTTTTGCTCTCCTGTTTAAAATGTGAACCCCAGATGCTGATGCAGTAGTCCGGTATTGGTTGCATCAATGCCATGAGCAGAGGTAAAAATCACCTCCCTGCTCCTACTCATCATTCCCCTGTTTGTACATCCAAAAATTGCATTAGTCCTTTTTTTGCAAGAGCACTGCACTGGGACTGCACATCAAGAGGCTTGTTCATTATGACCCCTATACCTGTTTCCAAATCAATGCTTTCTTGAATCTTATCCCCCGTTGTGAAGTATGGTTTGGATTCCTAGACCTAGATGTATTGTTGGTTATAGCCGTGTTGGTCTAAGAGCCTTGTCTGCCTAGACCTAAATGCAACATTTTTGCATTTGGCTGTATAAAGCTGTATTGTATTTGAATGGGACCGGCTCACCAAACAATCCAGGTCACTCTATGACCAGCCTGTCCTCCCATGCCACTCTTTGTGTCATCCACAAGTTTTATCAGAAGTATTTTTATATTTACTTCAGATCGTTGATGAAATGTTGATAGCAGGCCTGGTATCAATCCCTGCAGAACCTCACTACAGACATCTCCATTCAGTGAGGATTCCCTAAGGCATTTCCCTTTTTTTTTTCTTTTTTTTTTTGCGGAAGAAGGAGCTTTATATTCTGGAGCCACACTTACAGCTCCATAGTTAAGGTAGAGCAGAGTGTTCTACGAGTTGATTTTTCAAAGTGCTCAGAAATCCATTTACATTCTCTGATTGTCCTGAGAATAGACATGCTTCAGCAGGCAAGTGGTATATATTTGGGTTATTTGGGTTAGGGCATCCCGTGAAAATGTTCCCATTCTCATAGCACCTTTTTGTACTGACTGACTCAGACAGTGGCACTGATCTATACCAAGCCACACTGGATTTACCTTCAGCTATTGCCCCATTCCCTAGACCTCCGTGCAGGAAACAATATTTTTGAAGTTATTTAGAATCTAGCTGTCTAAACTGGCATGCATCCAGGATGTGTGCTAGAGACAGGGTTTCCCACAGGTCCTGCTGGTTGGGTGCCCTTTGAGAGCAGCGCCATGTTGCATGCTCCAGCAAGCAACTAAATTGAGGAACTTGCCTCACATGATGTTTCTCCTTAAGGAACAGACTCTAGTCCTGAAATCCAAGAGCCAGGCAAGGTTCATATTTTGTCATCCAGCAATTCTGCGACTGTCTAGAAAAATCTGGGCCAAGAGAGTAGTAGGCAGCTTAGTTGCATGAATTCCAAAACCTCTAGGCCTGCACCTTGGAGCAGCTCTCTCTCTTCACACTGTTCTACTAGATCTGGATTCTGAAGCCCAGATATCCTTTACTTCAGCATGAGGGAGTTCATACTACTCAGCCAGTATCTGGATGATCTGCATGGTTAATTCTGGAAGAAGTAACAATGAGGTAGGCATAATAATCATGGGCGAATGGTGCCACCTTAGTCGGGGGGCATGTGCCCCCCCCCCAGCAACCAGTCAGTGACTGAGGGGGGGTCCCCTCTGTGGCCGATCTCACTGACCGGGGCGCCAGTTGCACTGAGCAGGAAGTGGCCACGCTGCTCCTGGAAGTGGCTGCGGTGTTTCATCCAGGTGCTCCCACTCCCCAGCCGGTGCTCGCAGGGGGAGCACCGGCACTCCCGCCTGCCCCCCCGCCTGTCGCCTAAGTGGGGAACATGGCCTGTCAGGGGGTGCACCAGCACTCTCAAGGGGTGCACGTACACCCCCATGTACTCCCTACGCGTCGCCACTGATAATAAAGGATATAAAAAACATCCTGCTGCAACAGACAAGTAATCAACTTGGTGATTTACTTTCTTTGAAAATGGCCTTGCCAGCCATGTAAGGCATATATTTCTGTCATACTGGAACACAGATAGGTAATTTCCTCCTTAATCTCACACTGGTGATCAGCATCTGCCCTGAAACATGAGCATTAAGAATCCTGGTCATTTTATCCTACCGAATGGCAGATATTATAAGTAGTCGTATAAGCTTACAGAGTCATAGGAAAACAGGGCTGGAAGGGGCCTAAGGAAGTCATCTAGTCCATCCTCCTGCTCAAGGAAGGATCATTTCTGACTAAATTATCCAAGCCAAGCATTTGTCTAACTTGCTTTTAAGGAATTCCAAGGATGGGAGCTTCCACTAATTCTCTGGGTTGCCTGTTCCAAACTTTAACCATCCCTTTGCTTTCTTTTTTTCAATATTACTTTGCTGTGTGCCCCTATATACCAATCAACAGTGAGTTTCATGGGCTAATTACACATTGCATAAGAAAGTGTTTTCTTCTGTTAAAGTGCGTTGCTTTTCAAATTCAAACGCTCTCTTGTTTTCTGCGAAAGGATAAATAGGAGTATATGTTTGGCCTTTACTTTTTTCCTGGTACTGTCTAAGTTGCTATGGTGATAAGTATGGTTGTACTGTCTGGATACTGGTACAAGAACAGCAGTAAGGACGTTAGGTGATGGTACTTTCAAGAACCCTGACTCCATTGCAGGGCACTGGGAAGCCCAGTATGACCCATATACTTCCCTTCACATCTCTCAAAAATCCCAGAGAAGCAGAGAATAAATAAAATCAATAGAATTTTATTTGCCGAGCATAAACAAGCACTAATGAAAAATGCTAGAGCGAGGTCCCTATGTCAGCTTTCAGGAGAATGTATGTGGCTGCTGGCTTTCCCCAGGCAGATGACAGAATTTAACCATTCAGCAGCTGCTGACTTGCTAAAGCACATCTGGATCAGACCTCCTGGCAGGTCCTGGGTGCAGCCCAATAGAAGCTGCTGTGCTGCTGAATATAGAAGCTGTTGTCATTCCTTTCATTTCAGCTGAATGTTACTGGGTGGTGGGAATAATATAGCAGGCAGCGGAGACCCAGCTGTGAAAGGGAAACCCTAGGTAACATGTATTCTCTCTTACACAGCAAATATCCTAGAGCAGGGTCATAAACAAATAAATCCATGGTTCCCCTTCATCTCCTAGGCTGCTGACAACATGGCACTTTGCCACCATCTCTTTCTGAGTTTGTACAGCTGTCATGGAGAGCTGAGGTTTAACATCTTATTCCTTCCCATGGGGCAGTAGGCAGCATTCTCCCCCAAGCCCTCACTGGCTGGATTCTAGGCTACGGTCTGGATGATACTGTTAAAGAGAATATCATTTTGTTGCTCCACTTGACACCCTTCTTGTTTAAAATCCACCCAGGCAGCAGCCAGATTTCTGTGGCCAGATCAGAGATCTAACCCTTTTTCTCTGTGATTTCACTGAAATGTCACTGTTGTAAGAAGGCTCAGTAGACTGGCAACTGTATGACTTCTGTGTGCTGGATGAGCTTACGTAAGGCAGCAGGGCTTGGAAACCTGGGCCTTCACAGAACCCACTGTGATCTGTTTGCTTGTTTTGCATTTGCCTGCAGCGGGCGATGAAGATGAAGATGAGTCTGGCGAGGAGCGCCTGCCATCCTGCTTTGACTATGTCATGCACTTCCTGACTGTCTTCTGGAAGGTGCTCTTTGCCTGCGTACCACCAACAGAATACTGCAATGGCTGGGCCTGTTTCGTGGTGTCCATCATGATCATTGGCATGCTCACTGCCGTCATTGGAGACCTTGCCTCTCACTTTGGCTGCACCATTGGCCTCAAGGACTCAGTGACTGCTGTGGTGTTTGTAGCCTTTGGCACCTCAGTACCAGGTAAGCAGGCCTAGGAAACTGGGAGAAAATAATAGCTATCACTCTAGTCCTAAGCAGTCAGGAATAGCAAATCCTAGGACACAGCTACTTCACCTCCACTATCCTCTGTGAGCTCTGGCATTTCAGGAAGCATTGGTTCCTGTGGTGCTTTTTAGAAGATAAGATCAGAATTGGTCCAATTGTTCAAAGAAAAAATAAGAGAAACACAGTTTTCTTCCCTGATAATCAGAACACACCATCTGAGACTCAGAGAGTTTTCCAAATTTGGTTTTGGCATAGGTGGGGGAGCCCTGTGCTTTGAGTGTTTTGTGCACCCAGTAATGACAAAATAAACCAAAGTCCTCTCCTCATAGCCAGTGATCGGACACAACCTGGCAACTATATCACCTGCTCTGTCATGATTTCAACATCATGGCCTCCTCTAAGGCCACCAAGCAGTTTTCGCTCTATGGCCCCTGACACATGTTCATTTAATAGCGCAATGAGATCTAATCCCTGCTCCCAACAAGTGTGCCTCCTGCCATGCCATTTGTGCATGGCAAGAGGCATGATTCTGGAATCAGGGATTAGATCCCAATTGCACCGTTACTGCTTGCACCAGCAAGTTGAAAGAGGAGTGCTCATAGGTCCAAATCTGGCTGTCAAACTGGCTCCAGTGTGGTTTGGAGCCAGGCTGAAAATCAGCTGATTGTTGGAGTCAGAACCAACAATCAGCTGATTTTTTGGCCTCAGCCCTGGACTGCACTCGTGATGGTTCAAGTCCCCAGTGTGGTCCAGGGCCAGAGCTGCCAGTCAGCTAATTGTTGCCCCTGGCTGGAACAGCCCTATATATAGTCATTGGGGAGACTTAAATGCCTCCAAAGGGCAATCCAGAAAGCCCACCAGCACTTAGAAGTCACCAATAGAAAGCACTAAGTGTGTCTGAGTTCCTGCATTCTTAAGGACTCCTTTGCCTGTGTTGGACTGAAAATTAAGTGACTCCATTCACTTGCAGTCTAATATACCTAGTCCTGCTTCTAAGTATAGATGCCTAAATGGGGATGCAGTGATGCTGCTGCCTGTCTTTTGTCCAGCAGATTGGGGGCACTCTCTCAGATGGGAGACCTGGGTTCAGGGCTCTTCTGAGACTGAGGAGGTTCAAACCCATATTGTCTAGTTCTCAGGAAAATGCCTTAACCCCCAGCCTATAGTATAATCTTGGAGCAGGGGAGGTATGGAAGGGGCATGCTCCGCCCTTGTTGTTGAAGCTGGGCCATTGAGAAACCAATGATTCAAGAGAGCAACGGACAACCAAAAGAGAGCATGACTTGTAGCCTAGTGTTTAGGGTCCTTCCGTGGGAGGTGGGAGTCCTGTCTTCCAATCATTCTGCCAGGACTGTCTGCATTTTACAGTAGACAGCCTTTGGTTAAAAAAGAAGAAATAACTCTGGCAGTAGGGATCAGAACTCAGGTCTTCCACTGCTTGTTAAGTGTTGGAACCAGTATTGGACTCAAGAAAAGGTTGACGTGACCACCACCACCATTTGGGGCCTGAACTCAGTGCTGTCAGTGTGAATCAGATGTGCTCAGAGCATGCCTACTGGTTAGGGTAGCTCCAGGAATTTAAGCACTTCCCCAGCACACTTGCAAAAATCTGGCTGACAACTGAGCTTGATAATTTGAGTAATCAAATGGATCCCCTGTGTGCATGCCTAGGTCTGGGTACCTAAAGAATTTTTCAGGCCAAACTGAAGCATAAGTGCCTGAATTTAGGCATATCCTGAGTTTACGGCTTGTGGATCAGGACAGTCTGTGTCACACTTTGGAACCTGGGCATCAAAATTCCATCCACACCCTGCTTGGTGCTTACATGATCAAGCTGGATCTGCCCATAAGCCCTTTATTCTCATTTCCTGGAGACCCTACAGTGCCAGCCTGTAGTGCCAACTGCAAACACTCAGTCCTGCTCACAACTAGAGGAGAAGCCATAATCTAGGCAGAAGAATGTTTAAGTGCCACAGCAAGAGCTGCCAGTGAACAGAGCTAGGATGGCATGCATTGGGTATAGGTAGCAGCCCAAAATAAAGATCAGGAGATGCCTGTAGGCTAAGTGCCTGGCCACTTAAAGGACTACATCCAAGGAGGCACTACTGAAACAGCATGGGACCCCCAAGGTCATGATGATATTGCTCCTCTCCAGCTACATAAATTCCCATGTCTTTCCTTTGTGCCCTCAAAATGATGTCCCCCTTTCTGTTCTGCTCCAGCTCTCTACAAATCTGCTCACTGACCAGGAAAACTGCTGCATCTTCAGGAAGCCTGATTTCACTGCTGTTATTTACTGTTTCATATATCCATCTCTTCCCTTCTAGATACCTTTGCCAGCAAAGCAGCTGCCACCCAGGATGTGTATGCTGATGCTTCAATCGGTAACGTCACAGGCAGCAATGCCGTCAACGTTTTCTTGGGCATTGGACTTGCATGGTCAGTGGCTGCCATCTACTGGGCATCCCAGGGACAAGAGTTCCACGTGTCAGCGGGCACACTGGCCTTCTCCGTCACACTTTTCACCATCTTTGCTTTCATCTGCATCAGCATCCTACTGTATCGGAGACGGCCTCACCTCGGAGGGGAGCTAGGAGGCCCCAAGGGGTGCAAACTCGCCACGACTTTGCTCCTTGTGAGCCTGTGGCTACTGTACATTCTTTTTGCCACCCTGGAGGCCTATTGCTACATCAAAGGGTTCTAAGTGGTGGAGAGATGATGAAGTCAGGGGGAGGGATTCCCCCTCCTCTGTTACCTCACTGGACACCAGTCCTCAAAAGTGTTGTTAAACCAGAAGTGACAGCACTCAGTCAGAGTCCACACCTGCCCAGACTCTAAGACAACTGGGCTTCAAAAAGGGCAAAATCATCATGAAACAAACAAGATTTACAAAAAAAAATTAAAAAATAAAAAAAATTATCAATTAAAGCATTCAAATACAAGTAAAATAAAGCCAGCCAGTGATCGTCAGAGTCTTCAGCCACCTTCAACCATCACACTTCCTTTATTTTTGGCTTTCTTCTTTTTTTAATCCCTTCTATTTTGAAATGATGCCATATATTTTTAAACAGATTGGGAATTGCAAGAATAAATTGGAGCCTGTTTTGGGTTTTTTTTTACTTTCAGCGGGTGGGAGAAGCATGTTGCTTGAATTATTTTCTTTCTCTCTCTCTCCCTCTCTCTCTTTTTTTTTAAAGTGGACAAAAATATCAAAAGCTTCATGCTGCCATGGATGCTGGAGTTATATTTTGAAGCTGCAAACAACTCAGTCCACAGTCTCCTTGTTTATCCATTCTCCTCCTCATTTCATTTCATTTAGTTCTTCCTCTTTTTTTAAAAGTACATTGTTGGACTGATTTAGTTTAAATGCAAACACACACAAGAAAACACAGTGATGAAGGCTGGAGCATGAAGCAACCCAATCACCTGCCTGGGCTAAGAAAAAGAAAGAAAAAATAGACAACATAATCCGTATCCTGTATATTTTGAATATGGCATTTCTCTTTGTATAATTAACTTACAGCTTGTGGTTCTGCAGAGAGAGAAGAATATGTTCATTTCCGAAAGTAAAGGAATGAATGGCTACATGGAAATAGCCTGCAAAGTGGGGGGAAAGGGAGCTAGGGACACCAGCCCTTGTTCCTTGCCATCACAGTAGTATTACATTTGATTTACAGGAGGGCATTCCTTTTTTTTCTTTAAAGTGAAGATGAAGTCATGTAAATAATTTGCTGTTCTCACATTTTGGTGAATATAAGAAGCTTCAAAGGCTTGAGCCATTCAAATGTTTCTGAGCATCAGCCTAAAGGTTTACCTTGTTCTTAAAAACAAACCCGTGTTTACTGACGAGATAAGGATCCTGGTCACTCCTCACAACCCCACTCTTGGTGTCATGGTCAGTCGATGTCTCCACTGCTTTAAGGCTGAGTTTGTCCTCCTGGCTGAGGACACACATCTGGTTACCATAACTCACAGGCATTGGATATGCTGAGCAGAGATCACAACTATCTCCTTTTTGAAAAAGAGCCCCAAAAAAACACAAAACAAAAAAACCCCCCAAAATTGCGTGACAGTATTTCTCCCTGTGCACGTGGCATTTCCCATCCTGATCTGCATTGTGTCTGCCATTTTGCTCCTTTAAAACAACCTCTTTTCAAAGAGTCAGTGCTCCACTCATGATGTTTGCTAGATTGAGAGGTACGGTCTTAACAAAACTGCCACAGATCTTAAGACTTCTGCAGCATCTTAAGTACATTTTAGGAAAAGCACCTTTTTCATTTGAAGTGCATTTTTTAAGGGGGAAAAAGATGAAAGGGAGGGGGGGAGGGAAAGAAAGATCTCATATCCTGAATGACATAAACAACTGCAAACTGCAACACTGGGTTGGTAATAAAAACTAAAAGTTATACTTATATCTATACAAATATATTATCTATAACCATATTTCTTAAGTGCAAGAACTGGAGGAGGGTGGTGAAGCTTTATTCTTTTTACAGTGTTTTTAAGATGAAGATATTTTCTTCTGTCAAACAATTTAGGTGCTGTAAAGGGAAATGTCTTCTTCATAAATTTCACAATCATAAAACAGACCTGGAGCGTCCAAGAGTAAACAAGGAAACAGAGAGAGAGAGAGAGAAGTCCTCCTTTGCCTGTTATTCCTAAGAACGAGCCAATGATTGATGATGCCTTAAAGGCAGGGAGAATGTATATGCAGGGGAAAAAAGGGGTGGGGATGGGAGTAATGTTCCTTGTCACGGAGAAGAAGCTGCAAGATGATGTCAAAGATATGGAAGAGCAAAAATGATCTTTAATTGACAGATGAAATATTTATTTTCTTACAAAATGTCTATCAAGCATATATATATATATATATATATATATATATAAAGTATGAAAGGGGAAGGGTGGATTCTTCTCTCTGATATGTTATAAGCAGTTGGAGCTTTATCTGTTTAAACTAGCAATGGGCAAACACTATAAAGGGTTTGAAGCCAATTGAGCACCCAACTTTCTGGCTGTTTATACCTAGTGTGTCAGAGCTCTTGGCTAGTACAAAAAAAGGGCAACCAGATGGATATGGACAGGCTGTTTACTAAGATTTTCAATACCTCTTGATTCCAGACTTGCCAAGAAATGGCAAGGACATTTGCAGCTGTGACCCAATACAGCAGAGGTGAGAAATTGAAAAAAACAAAGGTGTTTTCATGTGTGTGCATATGTGTGGATCTTGAGGGTTCTTTGGGGTTTTCTTTGTAATTTTGGCACAGAAATTCAGTTGGGCTTGTGTTTCTTTAAGACCTGTTCTCCCATTGCTAGTTGAAACCAAGGCTTGGTTATCTGAAATGCTGTGATCATGTTGCTTGTGCTGTATCACACATGCTTTTCATCTGCTTCTTTATTAAGATCACTTGTCACAGGGCTGGGGGGTGGGGGAGGGAGGGTGATCATTGGGAGGGGAGGACTGTATGCTGTTGCTAAATTCATAGTTACTTTGCTGCCCTTACATGCACTGAGAAAAACTGCTCCAAGCCAATAACATCAGTGGAGTGTTTATTTTATTTTTATTTTTTATATAATTAAAAATACAAGAAAAGAAAAAAGAAATATTGTTGCTTTGGGGGGGAAGGGGGGTTTGGTCTGGAAGTTTGCATGAAATTGTTTGTAGTTTTTTTCCTTTTTCCCATTCATCTCAATTAGATTTTGCTGGAAGAAACCACCAGGAGTTGCATCATGGATGTTTTGTGTGCAGAAGACCTTGCTTCTTCGTTACTTAGAGCTCTTTGTTTTCATTGTCATTGTTCCTTACTCTTTGTTTTCTTGTCAGCTCCACGTCGCAGTCTGTAATAAAAGCCACTTTCCTCTTTCTGTTGCCTTGTTGCTTTTCCAATCACACTCTTTACATTGCCTTTTCCATTTGTACAGGTTCCCTCCTTCCTCCTTCCCCTGTTGGCAGATGACAAACCTTCTCTGCTGTAGATTGTATGAGATAGTGTAGTACGCGTTGGCCTCAGGAAGAGCTGTACAGAGGATCAGAACAGCTAGTCTGTGCCTAGAGGAGGCTACATGAGCCCATTTTAAGCAGATCTCAAAGTTGAGGGTGTTGCAAGCTTCTTGAATTGATAACTGGGTGGGATTTTCCAAAGGTGCTAAATAACATTGTTAACTAAGTTTTTTTAAATGCCAGTGGCCAGGGGAATTGTAGGGAAAAAGGTATATCCCTGCAATTGCCTTCCCTCAGGGGCTCCAGAGACTTTTAGATTTCTTCATACTGCTACTGAGATGCTAATTGCTGGAGGTCTAGTGGATAATCTGCATAGCTTGGTTTGAAGGATGAACAAATAATAAGATAAATGACATTTTTCACAACACATAGATCACAAAGCAAATCGACCAACAGAGGCTAAAGCAGGATAAAGCAACGTGACTGATCATAGCTTCAAGCTCTGGAAGAAAAACCTAGTAATGGGAAAAAAGTCCTTACAGAAAACATCAGCTTTACCTACAGCCCCCACCCCCACCATGACCACAGTTCAGCAATGTGATCTATTCAACTCTTAAATTTAGCCTTAATCTGTATAAACTATTCTGTAAATAGGATTTACACTTTTCTGCCCACATAAATCTAAACAAACATTATGTTAATCTGGCCATTGCCAGCACTGAATTAATTCATCTTCTGAACTATGCTAAGCTGATACTCTTGCCTACCTGGTATTTTGCTGTTGTACCCTGCTCTGTGAGAGGGAAGATCCTGTGGCACGTGCACAGAGCTTACAGGCAGGCCAGACAAGAAAGTCACCTACTTTGGTTTTCAACAGCATGGCAAATGTTATCAAAGACTTTGAAAACATGGCCAGAATTAGGCACTATGCAAGCCTGGCTGTCATGAGGGAAATAGCCCTAAGAAGAGTTCTAATCCAGTACTTCAGGATACCTCCTAGGGTATGGCAGAAAACCTAGAGCCAAATATAGACTACGGTAGGATCACATGGCAATCACTGCAGTAAAGACAGGGCAGCATTGTATGGGCATGAGCTTTGTGGGCTGATCCTGGGATGTAGCCACAGGAAATACTGGTTCTGTTCCTAGCTGCTGCTTTGACATGCACGGACGCTCAGTAATCTGAAACTACAACTGCTGGTCTCTTAGTGTGGTGGTTTTCCTTTCTGTCAAATGGACTGATACGTGGAACCCAGGGGTATGAGCCCCTAGTTCTTAATATCCATAAAGCACTTTGAGCCTTTCAGGTGGATGACACTACAAAAGACACAGATGCTGTTCACTGAGTGTCATTAGCAATTGCACCTAGAGCAGACTTTACAGTGTTTATTAGTGTCCACTGAATCCTTAATTCCTCCCGTGGCCTGGGACAATCACTGAGATAAAACTGCCATTGTCTAGTTGAATTATAAATAGCCTGAGTCCCCCTGAATTGGCAACTGGCTATGGTATTCTTCTCTCCTCAACAGCTGTATAGCATTTCCCTGTTACCCATGGGAAAGAAACTCCAGTACATATTGCCTGTAAAGCACCTTCCGCTACATAGTGCTATTGAAATAAAATATTGATTCTTTTCAATGTATGTCCTTGCAGCCTATTCCAGACACTCAAGTGTCAGCTGGGTGCCTCGTCCTAAGATGCTGGACTACATGGTTAGCTGGTTGCAAGACCAGGGTCTTTGGGTTGGCCTACACCACGGCAGCAGTGTGTCCTAGTAGGGACACCCCTAAACACACTTGCAGTCTTCTCCCCCTCCCCTCTCCCCTTTCTCTTTGCACATGCCAAAATATGCTGGTGAAGACACATAGGGATTGGCCCACCACCTGTTCCCAAGCACGCTGGAGACAGGTCCCAGGAGTGACTGAAGGCTGACACCCACAAGAGAGGCCTCACTGGCATATTTCCATGTTTGGCAGGTGTGAGCAGGAGTTGAGGAATGGGGCAAGCACCCCTTAACAGGACATATTGCCACCACCAGCTATAGATACCCTTAGACCCTAACACAATCTTGAATGGTCCTGCTAGAAGCCAATGGAAATGTTGATTTTGAAATAGCCTGAATAAAGAGTCTCTCTTTTCTGTGTGGCTCAGGTTTCTGGGTGTGTCAACCCACTGCCATGAAAGGCACGAGTGCTTGACATGGCAAGCACCACATTTACCACCGCATCTTTGTATCTCTAGGACCTGCTGGTAGATGGCCAAGCACTAGAAGAGGGATATGGACAGCTTTTGTGTCAGTCTAGGAGTGCTATGCACACTATAAAATGAGAGCCTTATGTAGCTGCTGATCTTAGGTTTGACATGGGGCTGGGGGGGAGGCCTGATAGGAACAAGGCGCCTTCCCCAAGGTCCTAGGTTGTGTTACCATTTGATAATTACTGTTTTGTGAAGATACTTAGTGATATTGTCATAAGCATAAAGTCAACATCATCCTTGGACGCAGGTGTCACAGTGGATGTAGTCTTTCTGGACTTCAGGAGGCTTTTGACATTGTCTCCCATCCCATTCCCATTAAAAAGCTGGGCAACTGTGGCATTGATGCCTATGCAGTCAGATGGGTCGCAAATTGGCTAAGGGGCCGCACCCAGAGAGTGGTGGTGGATGGGTCATATTCAGCCTGGACGGATGTGGGCAGTGGGGTCCCCCAGGGCTTGGTCCTTGGGCCTGCACTGTTCAAGCTCTTTATTAGTGACTTGGATGAGGGGGTGAAAAGCACCCTGTTCAAATTCACTGACAACACCAAGATTTGGGGCAAGGTGGGCATGCTAGAAGGGAGGGGTACAGCTGGACCTGGACAGCTTAAAGGGGTGGGCAAATGAGAATAGGATGGGAATCAATACTGACAAGTACAGGGCACTGCACTTGGGCAGTCAGAACCAGCAGCATACCTACAGGCTGGGGAACTCCCTTCTTGAAAGCACAGTGGCAGAAAGAGATCTTGGAGTCATTAGCGATTCCAAAATGAACATGGGCCACCAATGTGAGGACACAGTCAGTAAGGCCAACCGCACCTTGTCATGCATCCACAGATGCAACACAAGCAAGGCCAAGGAGGTGATACTCCCCCTCTATGCGACACTGGTCAGGCCACAGTAGGAGTACTGCGTCCAGTTCTGGGCGCCGCACTTTAGGAGGGATGTGGCCAGCATCGAAAGGGTCCAGAGGAGGGCCCCGCGCATGATCAGGGGGCAGCAGGGCAGACCCTATGAGGAGAGGCTATGGAACCTGAACCTGTTCAGCCTTCACAAGAGAAGGCTGAGAGGGGATCTGGTGGCTGTCTATAAACTTACCAGGG